TTTTTCTTTTTAAATGTTTAAATATATGTATTTATTCATTAGGAGCACCGACTGGTTTGAGCTGTTTTGTCTGGTGTGTATATATATATATATATATATATGTATATTGTTTCGAGTCTGAGATTTTGTCTCCCAGCCTGTTCAGCACCCTGGCGCAGGGCCCGATGCGGCTAGCTGCAGCCTCCCGCTGCGGCCAGGCATCCCTGCGCACGCGCACGGCCCGATGCGACTGACCCCTTGGGCAGGCATCCGTGTGCTTACCCCGTAGCTGGGGCGGGGCCTGGTCGCCGGCCTTGCGCACCAGCGCCGGGGGTGGTGGGGCCTCGTCGTCCTTGTCTGGGTGGGCGCTGAACGGTTGATTTTTTGTTCGTTTTTTCGCGCTTGCGAAGAGGAGGTCGGCCAAATGAGCCTCTCCTCAGGCAGCTGGCCGCAACGTCGGGCCCCAGCTGCCTGTGTTTGACCTGAGCTGTGGCTTGGGTTCAGGGCGCATGTCAAACAAAAAGATCCGCCGCCGTCGTGACCAGACATGGCAGGATTTGACAAGGCAGTTAGGTCCCTCGGTTCGGATGCCCCGTCGTTGTTTGAGGCTGGCGCGAAACCGTCCACCCACCCCCGAATACCTGGACATTTCCGGAGGCCCCCAGGGATCCACGTAGACTTCCAGCAGATGTCTACTGATGCCTCATAAGAAGTATGCCAGCACACGCGCAAAAGCCTCGATCCCCCTCCCCGTCCTCACCGATCCTGTATCCTGCAACGATCGCCCCGCAACATCGTGCCGCCCCAAACATTCGGCGGGTTTTTCCCCAACCATCCTGTGGTGTCGGGTCCCCGTCTTAAAGAGACGGTCCCCGCGTTCCTTTCCTCTCCTCCCCTCTCCTTTCCTCCTCCTCCCCCTCCTCCATCCTCCCTGCGTTTTACCCACCCAGTACAGCGTGTCGTGGCCCCCTAGGGAGCTCCACCGAAGGTCCCAGTGCTAGCGTCCGCATGCGTCCCGAAAACCCAATACAGCGCTTCGTGGCCCCACAGGGAATCCGACGAAGGTCACAATGCTGCTGTCCGCATGCGTCCCGCCCACCCAGTACAGCGCTTCGTGGCCCCATGAGGAGCCCCCCCGAAAGTCCCATTGCTACCGTCCGCATGCGCCCCCCCAAACAGTACAGCGTTCGTGGCTCCAGAGGGAGCCCCACCGAAGGCCCCAGTGCCACCGTCCGCATGCGCCCCCCCCCCACCCAGTGCAGCGCTTCGTGGCCCCAGAAGGAGCTCAACCGAAGGCCCCAGTGCCACCGTGCACATGGGTCCCGAAAGCCCAAGTTGGCACTTTCGCCCATCCACTACAGCGCTTCGTGGCCCCATGGGGAGCTTCACCGAAGCCCTCAGTGGGACCGTCCGCGTGCGCCCCGAAAAATCAATTTGGCATGTTCACCCACCCAGTGCAGCGCTTCGTGGCCTCATCGGGAGCTCCACCAAAGCCCCCAGTGGGACCACCGTCTGCACGCGTCCCGAACATCCAATTTGGCATTTCCACCTACCCAACACAGAGCGCGTCCTGGCCCCGTAGAAAAAACTCAATCGAAACCCCCAATCGGACCGCCCGCATGCGTCCCACATACCCACTTTTGCACTTTCACGCACCCAGTACAGCGTCTCGTGGCCCCATGGGGAGCTCCACCGAAGGCCCCAGTGCCACCGCCGCAGTGCCAGCGTCCGCATGCGTCACGAAAACCCACATTGGCATTTTCACCCACCCAGTGCAGCGCCCCGTAGCCCCAGAGGGAGCTCCACCGAAGCCTCCAAAGGGACCGTCCGCGTGCGTCCCGAAAAATCTATTTGGCATGTTCACCCACCCGGTACAACGCTTCGTGGCCTCACTGGCACCTTTCGCATGCGTCCCGAACGCACAACTTGGTACGGTCACCCACCCAGTGCAGCGCTTCGTGGCCTCATAGGGAGCTCCACCGAAGCCCCCAATGGGACCGCCCGCATGCGTCCCGATAGTTCAATTTGGCATTTGGACCCACCCAATACAGCGCTTCGTGGCCCCATGAGGAGCCCCCCGGAAAGTCCCACTGCTACCGTCCGCATGCGCCCCCCCCCCCACACAGTACAGCGTTCGTGGCTCCAGAGGGAGCCCCACCGAAGGCCCCAGTGCCACCGTCCGCATGCGCCCCCCCCCCCACCCAGTGCAGCGCTTAGTGGCCCCATAAGGAGCTCAACCGAAGGCCCCAGTGCCACCGTCCACATGGGTCCCGAAAGCCCAAGTTGGCACTTTCGCCCATCCACTACAGCGCTTCGTGGCCCCAAACGGAGCTCCACCGAAGTCCCCAGCGGGACCGCCCGCATGCGTCCCACACGCCCACTTTGGCATTTCCACCCGCCCAATACAATGCATCGCGGCCCCATAAAGAGCTCGACCGCAGGCCCCAATGCCACCGCCTACATGCGTCCTACACATTTTTGTTGGTCTGCGGGTCGGGAGCGGGCCCCTTCCGTCAAGAGCTAAACGGGACGCGGGTAGCCCTAATTGGGGAGACAGGGCGCGGGACGCGTCCTACACACTCAAGTTGGCATTCCCACCCACCAGGCACAAGGTTTCGTGGTCCCACAGGGAACCCCACCGAAGCCCCCAGTGGGACCCGTCCGCATGCGTCCCGAAAACCCAATTTGGCACGTTCACCCACCCAATAAAGCGCTTCGTGGCCTCATAGGGAGCTCCAACGAAGCCCCCAGTGGGACCGCCCGCGTGCGTCCTACACGCCCCAGTTGGCATTGTCACTCACCAGGTGCAACGCTTCGTAACCCCATAAAGGGGGGCGAACCGACGGCCCCAGTGTTACCGCCCGCATGCGTTCCCCCCCCACCCATTGCAGCGCTTCGTGGCCCCATGGGGAGCTATACCGAAGAACAGATTCACAATTGCGGCACCCACAACTCGCCAGGATAATTCACAACCATCCTCTGGTGTTGGGCCCTCGTTTTGAAAAGACGGTCCGCGCGTTTCTCTGCTCTCCTCTCCTCTCTTTCTCCTCCCTATCCTCCCTCCCCTCACCAGGTACAGCGTTTCGTAACACCATAAAAGGGGGCCTTAACCGACGGCCCCAGTGCTACCGCCCGCATGCGTTCCCCCCCCCACGCAAGGCAACGCTCCGTGGCCCCATAAGGGAACCCCACCGAATGTCACAGTGCTACCGGCCGCATGCGTCCCCCCACCCCCCACCCCCACCCAGTACTATGTTTCGTGGCCCCGTCATCCCTCCTCCCTGCGCCCCCCCCCCCACACACACACTACAGCGCTTCGTGGCCCCATAGGGAGCCCCACCGAATGTACCAGTGCTATCGTCCGCATGCGCCCCCCCAACCCAATACAGCGTTTGGTGACCCCCTCCTCCCTCCTCCCTGCGTTTCACCCACCCAGTACAGCGCTTCGTGGCCGAATAAGGCACCCAGTGGGACCGCCCGCATGCGCCCAGAACGCCCAATTTGGCATGTGCACCCACCCAGTGCAGCGCTTCGTGGCCCAATCGGGGGCTCCACTGAAGCCCCCAAGGGGACCGTCAGCACGCGTCCCGAAAAATCCATTTGGCATTTTCACCCGCCCAATGCAACGTTTTGTGGCTTACGGGTAGCTCCGCCGCAGCCCCGAATGGGCCGCCCGCCTGCGTCCCACACGCCGAATTTGGCACGTTCATCTATACAATACACCGATTCGTGGCCCAATAGGGAGCTCCACCGACGGCCCCAGAGTGCTACTGCCCGCATGCTTCCCGAACATCTATTTTGACACGTTAACCCACACAGTACAAAGTTTCGTGTCCTCATAAGGAGTTCCACCGAAGCACCAAGTGGGACCGCCCGCATGCGTCCCACACATCCAATGTGTCATTTGTCCACCCACCCAGTACAGCGCTTCGTGGCCCCATAGGGAGCTCCACCGAAGCCCACAGTGGGACCGCACGCGTGCGCCCCCCACACATTGAATTTGGCTTTGCGTCCCCGAGGCCACAAACACTTGTACAGTGGACAATTTTCGCGTCCCCGAAGCCATAAACCCTTGTATTGGCCCTCGCGCGAAGGTCCGACATTGCTTCACGTCAGAATCGAGACATCCCAACACAGCTCTAGCAAGTCCCATTCTAAGAGAGGGGGGCCGGCGGCAAGGGGGCGAAGCCCTTACGGATAGTATATGTCAACCAGCGTGGACGCCTAACAATAATGTCTTGCACTCTACGCGGCGCAATATAGGTGGCGCAATGACACGTGGTGCAATCGATGTGGTACAAAGCAATGCAAAATACTGCATAGCAATGCGAAGCAACGCAAAGCAATGCAAAGCTAAGCAATGCAAAGCAATGCGAAACAACGTAACACAATGCACAGGAATGCAAAGCAAATCAAAGCAAACCAATGCACGTCAATGCAGCGCAGCGCAAAGCAAAGCTGTGCAACGCAAAGCACAGCATCGCAATGCAACGCACTGCGAAGCAATGCAATGCAAAGCAAAGCAAAGCAAAGCAATGCAACGGGCGGCACGGGCGGCGACGGGCGCCACCCATGGCGACGGCAGCGGGCGGCAGCGGGCGGCACGAGAGGCGACGGGCGCCGCCCACCCCGCGACGGCTAAGAGGAGTATTATAAGCCCCCTCAGCTGCAAGAAGTTGCTCTGGAGAGTCAAAGGTCGGGGTCAGGGATACGGGAGCTTCTCCCAGCAGGTCGCAAAATTCTTGAGGCAAAAGCGTCAGTTCACTGGACCGACCAAAAAAAGACCTTGAAACGGCACAGCCCTTCCGTGCGGCGGGGAATGGAGGCTCCGCCTTCCAGAGTAGTGATGGGGTCGAGTCGGCGGGAAGGTCCTCCTCCTCCTCCTCCTCCGCCTCCTCCTCCTGCTTCTCCTCCTCCTCCTCCTCCTCCTCCTCCTCCTCCTGGGGGCCTAAGCGCAGCAGGCAGGACAAGACCTCAGCCCCAGGGCCCCGGGAGGGAGGCGCCGCCGTGGCGCGGCCGGCTCAGCAAGGCTTGCGGCACCCAACCTTGCCTCTGCTGTGCAAGAACTCCTGCATCCGCTTGAAATCCTGCTCCTCCGAGGCCGTCCGCCTGAACGACGGGAACCAGTCTGGGTGCTGCTGGAGGCCGCTGCCGAGTGCCCACGTCACGAACTCGTGGCAACGGTCTCCGGGCACATGCTTCAAGCAACCGCCGAAGCTGGGCGTCGCCTCTTCAGCGGGCACTGCTGATACGGTCTCTGGCTTCGCTACCTCCGCAGCGGCCGCAAGAGCCTCAGATGGCGCTGCCTCGGCCTCAGCATCGGTCGAACGTTGGACCTCTGGTGCGGACTCTGGCTTGACCCCTTCTGCGGCTCCCAGAGTCCCGACCTCCACCTTCGCCTTGGTCTTCACCTCGCGCCATCGCCTTTGCGCCAATGTCTTCGCCTCTTGCCACCACGGCTTGCGGCCTGCAGACGCGGGCTCAGCTTCGGAGATGGCCGCGGGCGCGGATGTTGCTGAACTTTTTGCGGCCGTCGCTGGATCCTGAAGATGCTGGAGCTCCTGCATCGTTCGCTCTGTATCCAACTTGCCAGCTTCCTGAACATTGTTGAGCAGCGTGCGCTTTTCTGCGATCAGAGTCTGCAAGGCTGGGGTATCGTCCATGGCCTCTAGCGCCTTGAGATCTGCCTCTAGCTTGCCAACCTCCCGCAGGGTCCGGAGCTGCCGCGACCTGAAGTCTGCCTCCAGCTTGTCCGCTACCCGCAGGTGTTCGATCCGTTGGCGTGTTTCCTCGCGCAGCTTCACCAGCGCTGGAGAGACGTGAAGCTGGTCCATCGCCTTGAGCTCCGACTCCAACTTGTCGATCTCCTCGGACCGGGGCGGCCGCTCATCTGCCTCCCGATGGCGTGAGGTCGGGCATGTCCACCTACTGGCGGTTCTTTGACAAACTAAAAATCGTTCAAACATATGGAAAATTTGCAGAACAGTAATAGAAACATCGTCCCTAAACGATTTGCTGCATTTTTTAATTTTCCTCCTGGAGAGGGACAGGCCCGACTTCACGCTGGCGCTCCTGAGGGAGAGTGGGCCACACATCTTCTGCGGGCGCGACCGCTGACGCCTCCTCTGCGGCGGCCGCAGGATCCTGCAGACGCTGGAGCTCCCGCGCCGTCTGCTCCGAGTCCGACTTGTCGGCTGTCTGAAGTTTCTCGATCTGCTTGCGCTTTTCTGCGCGCAAGATCTCCGCGGCTGGGGTGGTGTCCATGGCATCCAGCGCCTTGAGTTCAGCCTCCAATTTGTACAGCGTTTGCTGGTTTTGGATGTGCCGCGCCTTGAGTTCTGCCTCCAACTTGTCAGCGGTATGCAGGTTGTGGATCAGCTGGCGCTTTTCCGCTCGCAACATCTCCAACGACGGGGAGTCCTTCATGGCCAGCAGTGCCTTGACCTCCGTTTGTAGATCACCGATCAAATTGGATCGGGCTAGATTCCCCTGGGCTGCTGACGCAGTGGCATTAGCGGGCCTCGCCTCTTCAGGGAACGTTACCGAGGCGCCCTCCAGTTCTGCCCTCTCAGCTGCGAGCGCGGCTGGCGCGGCCTCCTGAGCTGCTGGAGCTGGGGCCGACGCAGCCTCAGCCGGCTCCGCATCTTGAGTGCGCGTTGCTGGTGCCGCCTCTGGCTTCGTCTCCTCAACAACGGCAGCGGAAGCCTCAGGCGGAGTCCCGTGTGCCTCGGCGTCGGGCGCCTCCTGGATCTCGAAGGCGGCAGGCTGCAGAACACCTGCACTGGGCGGCGACGTGACGGTGAAGCACGGCTTGCCACAACTACCCTTGCCGTGCCTGTGCAGAATCTCCTGCACCTGCTTGAAATTCTGCTGGTCCGAATCCGAAAGCTTGAACGACGGGAACCAATCCGGGTGTTTCTCGATGCCTTCGTCGAGGGCCCACATCACGAACTTGTGGCAGGTGCCCCCAGGCACGGCGTCCAGGCAGTCGCTGGAAGGCTCCCCGCGCAAGACGATGCCCTCGCACGGCAGCAGGGGGCGCCCGATCAAGCCTAGCGAAATTACCAGCGCGCGCATCATCTGGCTGAGAGGCATTGAAAATTGCGTGTATGATGTGTTCGTGTCTCAACACTGAAATGCGCGTGGCATCGAAGGATTCCACGCGGCTGCTCGGTCCGTAACGGCTCGATCCCAAATGGCAACGGAACATCATTAAAGAAGGAGGAAAGGGAGGAGGATGAGGAGAAACAAGAGGAAAATGAGGAGGAGTTAACGGAATTGTTCGCAGTGCGCGGATGAACGGAGTGTACCGCGGTGTAGCGACACCGCGATGATGATGATGATGATGATGATGATGATGTTGTTGATGATGATGATGATGATGATGATGATGATGATGATGATGATGATGATGGTGATGGTGATGATGGTGATGCTGCTGGTGATGATCGTAATGATGGTGGTGATGGTGATTGTGGTGATTATGATCATGATGACTATGATGATGCTGACGATGATGGTGGTGACGGTGGTGATGATGATGGTGATGACGATGATGATGACGATGACGGTGACGCTGGATGAGAAGATTATATCTACGATTGATACTTTCCCCAGGGCTGATGAGATTCGGCCCTGGCGCTCCCCACCGCCGACCGAAACTGTCTTGGCCAGAGTCGGGGATGGACAGACCCCCCTTTAGTAAAACGTGGTTCAGTGAAAACGACCTGAGGCCCAAATCTGGCGGGCGCAAGCCTGGAAAATGACGGCCACGGCGCCCTCTCGAGAACCGAAAACGGACAATTCACTAATCGACGTGTCACTGTTGGGGGCTCGAGAAACAACACTTAGGTGTTAAGGGGAGGATGCTATACTACCAGGGACACGGGGTTAATTGTTTTGCCCTGTGGCTCGTGCAACGCAAATCAAAAAGCCTGTATCGAAGAAAGAGGCCAACGTCTCCAGGACCCCGTTTCCCCGAGGGCTCGCTCGCATCAACCGCCAGCCCCCTTCTCGGGGATCTTCTGACCCGGGTCAATCCAGACCCGGGTCAGCAGGAAACCAAAAAACTGAAATGCAGGAAATCAAAAACTGCAACGCAGATCTTCGCAAACCCGGGTAAGCCAACATGCGCGGCCGCCTGGCGGCCACGAGCGGCTTGCTAACCCGGGTCAGCCAGACGGGGTCTTCGCAGGATCCGGTGCCCTGGCTGACCCCCGTTTGCATTGACCCCCATCTCAAGGCTCCCGACCTTCCGTCTCTCGCCGTGGACCGGCGCCAGGGGCCGTGCCTCCCCCGAGAGGAGGGAAAGGAAGACGACACTGGACGGGCGGCGACTGACGCCGCCCGTCCTGCGGGAACTGACGCTGCAGCCAGCCCATATCACCAGGATGCGCGATAAGGAGGCAAGGGCCTCGGGGCGCCATGTTGGACGTTTTTCGAGCGAGTCTGGCCAGCGAAGGTCGCCAAGGATGGGCCGCAGGGGCAAGGATGCCAGGGTACCCTTGGGAAGGTTGCCCATCCCTCACAGTGCGGGTTGACTGTACGCCTAGGTCCGGCAAGTCCCCCAGGCGGGCTTTGGAACAAAAAAAATGAAAAGTCTGAATGTTCAAACCCAGCAACAAAAAATCGAAGAATCGCCCCCAGACTATGATTTCACTATTTTTGGAGATTCCTCCTGTAGAAAGACACGCCCGACTTGACCGTCCGCTCAGGTCGGGCCTGTCCCCCTACAGGGGGATGTCTTGGAATAAAAATTAAAACTACCTACACTATACCCCCAAATGGCCAAAAATGATAAAACAAATCGCCTCCTTCCTGTTCTGACTATTTTTTGGCTATTTTTGATTTTTTGAATTGTCCTCCTGTAGAAAGATGTTTGAATATTTTTTTTTTTTTTTTTTTTTTTTTTTTTTTTTTTTTTTTTTTTTTTTTTTTCAATACTTTTGAGTAGAACACATTTTTTGACTATGTCTGAATTTTCCTCTCGTAGAAAGACAGGACCGACTTCACCGTGCGCGCGTGACACGGTGCACCACGGCTGCACGGACGCAGGGCGGATCGACCTCTCGGGAGCGGAAACACTGCCGCCGAGGGGTGCCTTCCCCGCATGCTGCAGCGCCACCCCGTCGCGCCTCTCGGAAGGGGCCCAAGGGGCACACCTTGGGACGCCCGAAATGGGTACGGACCGTACAGCGACGAAATGTTGCACCACTTTTGCCGCGCCTTGTCAGCTATATTGCATTGCTCCTCCCCCCCTCCCCCTGATCTTAACCTTGGGCACATGGCAAAGGTCCCTTGGCGCCCCCCCCAGGGCTCGCGACAGAATGTTGCACCACCGAGCCGTTTCGATGAACCCGGGACCGCAGCCAATGTTAAGATTGGGGGGAGGGGGGGTGGAAGCGAACATCCATTGCAAAATCGGCTTGCTTTCTTGACAACACCAGGTGGTGCAACATTTTGTCGATGTGCAGGAACAAATGAGTACAATGCCCAACAACAAATGTTGTCCCGAACCAACAGCGGCCGCTGTTGGGCAGGCGGCCTCCTGTCCCGAATGGACACATGCCGCGGCGGCGTGGACTGCGAGTCCTGTTCAAAATGAACCAGATCCGCTGTCGGGCATTGTACCCAGTCTTTCCGTGCCCGGTGCCCGTATCTTTCGTGCAGAACACAAATAAAGGCGCACAAATCCCAGGAGTCCCCGTGTTGGTCAATATTTTCTGAAGCGCCGTCTTCCCCCCACTGCCCGCATTCTTCAATCTTCTCCTGGAGATCGACGGTTCATTGTGCCTCCGCGTATCTTCCCCTCCTGGTCCTCGTGCATCGAATGATCGACGATGAATGGTGTCTCTGTGTATGTTAGTTCCCCTCCTGATTCTCGTGCTCCGAATGACGGACGGTGGGTCCCTTCAAGACGGAGCTCCCGCCTGGACGGCGAGGCCATGGGGCGCTCGCCCGTCGAAGGGGGCAGATCGCGCAGGGGAAACAAGGGGGTCTGCCAGGGCTGAAGAGGAGGGACCTGCGACGCGAGAGCGTGCTGCCCCACGGCTGGAACAATGCAGACTTTTTGCTCTCCTCCTCCTCCTCCTCCTCCTCCTGCTCGGCGTCCTCTCCCCTCCTCCTCCTCCTCCTGCTCTCCCCCAGGAGGTTCGTGGAGGTCTCCAGAGAGGTCCCCAATCATGTCCCTCGCGGCCCAAGCAGGGAAGCAAGATGTGCAAACAACTGGTCAACACACATCCCTCCTCCCTCCCTTCCCCCGTTCCTCCTCCTCCTCCTACTCCTCCTCCTCCTGCTCCTCCTCCTCCTCCTCCTCCTCCTCCTCCTCCCCCTCCTCCTCCCCCGCTACTGCCCCTCTACAATTACTCAATATGAATATACTCTCCCTCTTCCCCTGATGGCGTCCGGGTGATGGCCGCGCACCCTCCGCGTACTCTTTTTTTACACACAGGATGCCCGGGAAATCCTGGGAAACGACTCTCGCTGAGGCGCCGGCGTCATTTTTTCCCAAAATGCTGCTCTCGCGCCGGCGTCATTGTTTCCCAAAATGCTGCTCTCGTTGAGGTGCCGGCCTCATTTCTGCTCCCGAATCCTTCCCCTGATGGCGTCCGGGTGATGGCCGCGCACCCCTGATGGCGTCCTGCAATTCCACCCACTCAGTACAGCGCTTCGTGGCCCCATAGGGAGCTCCACCGAAGCCCCCAGCGGGACCGCCCGCATGCGCCACACACACACACAATTTGGCATTTCTACCTACCCAATAGAACGCTTCGTGGCCACATAGGGAGCCCCACCGAAGCCCCCAGCGGGACCGCCCCGCATGAGACTCACACGCCCACTTTTGCGTTTTCACCCACCCAGCCCAGCGCGTCGCGACCCCGTGGGTAGCTCCACCGACCGCATGCGTTCCACACACAAACACAAACACAAACACAAACACAAGCACAAGCACAAGCACACGCAAATACACACACACTCAGTTTGGCATGTTCACCCACCCAGCAAAGTGTTTCATGGCTCCATAGCGAGCTCTACCGAATGCCCCAGCGGGACAGCCCGCATGCGTCCCACATACTCAATTTGGCATTTCCACCCACCCAACACAGCGCTCCGTGGCCCCATAGGGAGCTCCACCGACGGCCGCGGTGCTACCGCCCGCATGCGTTCCCACCCACCCAGTGCAGCGCTTCGTGGCCCCACAGGGAGCTTCACCGAAGAAGGTATTCACAATTGCGCTACCCACAACTGCACATGGTTGGGTCTCTCGCCAAGATAACTTGACATGGGCCCCTCCCGAGCACACGTTTCAACACGGATGGCTTCTGGCTGCCCGGGGTACGAGAAACTGGCCCCCAGACGCCCAGACTGTTGACGCACACCCGCCGACGAGGCCCTCTCCAAGGCCGCGTCGTTGACCAGAGCTTCGGGGCGGACCCTGCCGCGGCGGCCAAAAGGCCACCAAGAGCGCAACGCGTCCCAAGTCAGAAGCTGGGCGCGACCACTCCGAGCCAGCTCTCGCGCCACGTCTGGTGGACGGATGCTCCTTCCTTCCCCGCGTGCTAGAATTGTGGATGCCACGACAATGGACACCCTAACAGTCCTATCATCGAATTAAACATGTGTTTAAATGTAGGAAGCATGTCCTGGAAATGTGAAACACATGCTTAACAATAACACACTTTTAACATATGTTTTAGACATCTGGGAAATATTTGCAACATGCTTCCTCTCCATTGATCGCCCTCCACATTGCTAGAGGATTCGGACCACCTCCTGCATGCTTGCAGACAGAAGCTCCGGCCAGGCTCGGGATTTCTGGCTGCCCTGTCAGTCTGCGAGCAGAGTGGGAGAGGAGGAAGGGGCTCGTTTCCGCGCCGCTGGATCGGTGGCTCAGAGATAAGGTCCTGAGAGGCGGGGCCCTAAGGATAGGGGATGACCCAAGGGTGGACTTGCGTTGTGTGAGGCACCTCGTCCTTAGGATCCCACCCCCCAGGACCCCATCTTTGAACCGCCGACTGGGTGTCCGGGGGGCCCCTCCGACACCGGATCGGCCAGCGGATCCGGGCCCTCGGCGGGAAGGCGCGCCTCCAGCTCCT